GACAATTTATACCCTGTCCTCAAGGGGCTTACATCTCATGCAGAGACAAGAGGAAAATGTGGAGCATGTCAGATGGTGGTGGTTATGGAGCAAAATAAAGCAGGGAAGGGAGATAGGGATTGGAGGCTGGGGGAGTAAGTCGCCTGTCACAGAGATGCAAATGTTTGCTGGGTTCCAAGTTTATTTTTTGTTTTTTTTAAAGATTCTATTTATTGATGAGAGACATAGGCAGAGGGAGAAGCAAGCTCCCCACCCCCCCACCCCCCGCAGAGTGCCTGAGTGGGACTGGATCCCAGGACCACAGGATCATGACCTGAGCTGCAGGCAGATGTTCAACTACTGAGCCACCCAGGCTCCCAGGTTCCAAGTTTTAAAATGATCCCTTCAAAACCAAACCGTCATATCCTCTCCAAAGAACTCTGGGATGATCATGTTAATGGAGTTCCAGGGTAACCACAGCATTCAGAAAATAAACCAAGAACTTTACAGACGAGAAATGATCCACTTAAGAGGGACAAATTGAAGATTCAATAATAGCTACCGGTTCTCCAGATCTTGTTATGCACTATTCTCAGCCGCTTAACAGACCAGTATCCTCACGTAATCTTCACACTGAACTAATGAGAAGGGTTAACATCTTTTCTCCATTTAACAGATAAGAAAACAGGAGCCCAGAGCAATTGAAGAAACAGCCCAAGGTGACACGCGTGCTAAATACTGATGTTGGGGTTTGGCCGTCAGAGTCCACATTCCCCTTACATTCCAATTAAACGTCCACTACTGGCCTGAGGTTTTCTTTTGCTGATACTTATCTTACTTATCCTATTCAAGATTTGCCTTTTAATATTTTTTAAAGATTTATTTATGTATTTGAGAGAGAAGGTGCACACAAGTGGGGGGAGAGGCAGAGGGACAAAGAGGATGTCAAGCAGACTTGCTGCTAAGTGTGGAGCAGATGTAGGGTTTGATCTCAGGACCCTGAGATCGTGACCTGAGCCGAAATCAAGAGTCAGATGCTTAACCGACTGAGCCACCCAGGTACCCCTTGCTTTTTAATATTTTACTGAGTTCTTACAATCCCACCAATCTCTCTCTCACACACACATACACACACACACACACACACACACACACACACACACACACACAGACTGGAGGCAGGTTTCATATTTGCAATGTCTTCTTTTCTCCAGATAATAAAAACTGAATGGCAATGAAGACTTTCAAATATTTAAATACCACTTCCTAGATCCAATTAGAAATTATTTTCTCAAAAAAAATAAAAAAAAATTATTTTCTCAAACACCTGATGTCACAAGCAAACTCAAAATAGTCCCATTTGGGTTTGAGACTAAAGTTAACCTTAGGGCAAATTAGAGTTCATATAGCCAATTTCTCACGGTATAGATATCTCAAATTGAACACAGTCCAAAGGGAACTCCTGGTTGTCCTCCATCCCCCCTGCAAATATGTTCCTCCCCTGCAAACCTCATTTCTCTAAATGACACCTCAACATCCATCTCAGTCTCCCAGAGATGCAAACTCAAAAGTTCTCCTTGGCCCCTTTCTCTCACCTCCTCATCCAACCCATCGGCAACTTCTATCCTCTCCACTCCACTACTATACTTTTTCTCCACTTGTCCTGACCCCGCGTACCTGCGCCCAGCCTCTCTTCCTGGACCCCCATGAGGAGCTCCTAAGTGGTCTCTCTGCTTCCTGGTCGGTCTGACTGACTCTAAAAATCTCATCTCCACAGAGTACTGAGTGAACTTTTTAAAATACGAATCAGACCGGGTCACCTCTTTGCCTAAAATCCTTCTGGACCACCAAAACAGAGCCTTAAATTCTTCCCCTGGCCTACAAGGCACTGTGCAATCTGCCTCTCCAAACTCCTGAGGCTCACTGTCCCCCTGGCTCACTCCATAGGAAAACCAAAAAACTGAGTGAAAAGACAGTGCTCTGAATTAAAATCTAGTAAAGACACTAGATCCACACAAAATTATTTCCACAAATACTTATTTATCATTTTTTGAACAACAGGGATTCAGGTTGTGCAGGTCCACTTATATATAATTTTTTATATAAATACAGCAATACCATAAATATATCTTCTCTTCCTCGTGATTTTCTTAATAACATTTTCTTTTCTCTAGCTTGCAGCTTGCTTTATTGTAATACAGAAGACACATAACACACAAAACATGTGTTAATCAACTGTTTATGTTGTTGGTAAGGTTTTGAGTTGACAGTAGGCTATTAGTAATGAAGTTCTAGGGAAGTCAAAGTCATATAAAGATATTTGACTCTGTAGGGATTGGTACCCCTAACCTCTTTGTTGTTCAAGGGTCAACTGTATTTTTTAATCTTCATAGCACCTGCCACCTCTGAGGTTGTTTTGTTCATTTAGATGGATTTCCTCTTTAACACCATCCTATAGAACTATACCTTACTATACTTGAAGTATTTTTAACCGTAATAATGAATTATAGAGTTTCCTTAATGTACATTTTCGCCATGCTCTGATTCTTTCACACTCCCTCAGTCAATGAGTGTGAGCCCTGTACCCTGGATGTACTCTCCTGACTTGAGTGTGTCCCACAATGTGCCGTCTTCTCTCCTGTGGCCTCTTTTTATGTCACCTACTTTATGTTCTGGCCCAAACTGCCTTCCCCATGGGTGGTGATGGGGCCAAGTGTGCTACTCGTGAATTCCAACAGGATACAAAACAGAGTGTTAGAATATACACTATATAGCAACACGAGATTATACAAGAGGACACTAGAGTAAAAACTGCTGTTGGGTGATAGGTACCACATCCTGGGAGCTGCCAAAGGGCATGGTCAACAGCATGGCAGCCTGGAAATACACACCAAGAATTTTGTGGCTAGAGATTTGTCATTTACTGCAGGCAGCTTAAAAAGATATGCCATGAGGTTCAAAAGTCAAGGGAATTTGAATCGGGTCCCCCACTATTTGTACCAAGGTGTTCCCCTAGACTAGGGAGCTCTGGACTCCTACTTTTTAATTCTGCATCTTCTCCACTACTTCAAGTGAAGATGCACGTGTGCTTTGCACACTGGAATAGCTCCTGCTCATAGAAGAGTGCCTGGCACATAGTAGATCCTCAATAAATAGTCTCTGGATAAATAAACTCATGAACAAGTGAATATATGGTCTTTCTTCTCTTTTTTTTTTTTTTTTTTTACTGTTCCAGACCTCCCCTTGAGAAGGGAAAAATGTGCCATCACTGAGTCATCATAAATCCTCTCCAGATCACTAATGGTCCCTCAGCCACAGTTCACAGACCTAGACACTGAAACATTAACCATTAGAAAGAGATAATGTTTTTGGAGTCAGTGGTTGACTTAGAAAATAGTGAGTCTGCTGTGGTTAAGAATAAACGCTAGTGGCTATAGATCACAGGAAACAAACTCAACAAAGATGAGACCTCATAACCTCTTAAGTGTATGAGTGCATTTCACCTATGTAGCCTGCAATCACGTAGATATTATTATTATTATTATTATTATTAATTTTGCTCTTCTCAATCTGGCATAACCTAAATACCTCAGTGGATTTAAAATTATACAAAAGCATGAGGGACTCCAATTCCTCCTAAATCCACTGCAAAGAACAAATCCTTTAATATGCATTGCAGGTAAAATACCATCCCCAAGTGAAACAACTGTAATCCAGGGTAAAATCTCTGTTGGCCTCATAAGCTACTTGAAAAAAAAAAAAGCATTAAAAGTGGCGAACACACAAACCACACCAGCAAGGCACAATTACCAAGCACTGCAACCAGATTTAGTCATCTCATCTCTCTCATCCTACACAGTCTACCTGTTCTTTTTAAGCTTTCAGAAATCGAAGGGGAAAAGGGAGAGGCAACAGCAGATACCAGGGCTATTTTGAGAAATAAAAGGATTCAAAAGTTATAGCGCAACTTCCACTGACATAGGAGCAGATCTCCGAGGAAACCCAGGTGACTCAGAAAGTTCAGTCTATAACACCAGTATAAAAACTCAGTTTCCATACTTGGGCAGTCACCGTCCTCCTAGTTTCATGTACTTGACTGCCTGATCAAAGTTTCGGTTGGAAGCAATCTGAACATTTCCAATCCATCTGCAGGGAGAGAGCACCAAGAAAGCTAGTCTAACCAAAGAGAGAAGCAACAGCTCCCCAGGGTGTGATTCAAACTTCAAAAGCACCCTCAAGAACCCCAAGTCCTAAGTTCCAAGGACGATTAAGGGCAGGACAAAAGATCTCATCAACAACCTCTCCAAAAACCCCATTCTTCTTGCACGGACCTATGGCTCGATTTTGAAAAACAAAGTGGGGAGAAAAAAAACAAACAAACAAGAAAACCTGTAAACAGCAGTACCACATCTGCTCCTTTCAGGTCCTGTTCACTATGCTTCGTTGTTCCTCACACGTTACCACCAACACAAGTGGGCTGGGCACCCCTTCCCTTGACATCTCCATCCTTCCACGTGGCCATAACTAGGCTTCCCAATGGTGAGGACAGAATGAGTGAGCAGAGAACTTAAAAAAAAAAAGCCACCCAAAGGGAGAAAAAGAATGGCAATAATTTAAAGAGCGAGCTGTCCATTTCCAAAGGGGAGAGGGTGTTTAAAAAGATTTAAAAAAAAAAAAAAAAAAAAAAAAAACTCCTGTTGCAGACATTGGAGGTCTCGGGCCACCAAGTGGGCAGGAGGTAGCACGCGCTCCGGAATGTGCGGGGAAGCGGTAGGTGTTTGGTGGCGGCGGCGGCGGCGGCGGTTCTAAACACCCGAAGTTTTAAAGGAAGAGAATTGCTCGATGGGACCGACTCCAGGCACAAAGCGCGCGCCCCGCGCCTCGCGGTCTCAGCCGTTCTCGGGAGGGCCCGGGCCCCGCGCTCCCCCGCCCCGCGCCCCGGGCCGCGGGGGGCGCCCCACCTGGAGCGAGGGCGGCGCGGGGCGCGGGGGCGCGCGGGGGCGGCGCGGGGGGCGCGTTACCTGTTCTGCCAGCCCTGGAGGAGGTTGGTGTATTTGCTGAGCACGCCCTCGAGCGCCGGCTCCCTCCGGCGGCCGCCTCCTCCCGACGGACTGGCGGCCACCGAGCCCGGGCTGCTGCGGCTGCCCCCGCCGCCGAGCCCCGCGGCCGCCGCCCGGCTGGAGACCCCCCGGCCGGCCAGGGAGCAGGAGGGCGAGGACCCGGCCGAGGTGGCGCGGCTGCTGCTGCGGCTGCTGCTGTCGCTGCCCCCGCCGCCGTCCGCGCCCTGAGCCGCCCTCTCCATGGTCCGTGCGCGCCCGGGAGGCGGGTGCCCGGCGCGGTGGCGGCCCCGGCGCGGGCTCCTGCTGCTGCCGCCGCTACAGCTCCGGCGCCCGGGCCGCGCGTGGCTGCTCCAGATCCCCGGGAAATGCCTGACTCACACGGGAGGAAGAGGAGGCGGCGAAGGAGAGCTGGGAAGGAAGCCAACGGGCTGGATGCAGCTGCGGCCGCCCCTCCCCCTCGCCCTCCCCCTCCCCCTCCCGCCGCGGCCCCGGCCCGGCCCGGCCCGGCCCCTCCCTCCCACCGGTTCCCTCGGCAAGTTCCGAGCGGGCGGCGGGTCCTGCGAGCCCTCCGCGGGCTCCCCCGCCCTCCTCCCGCCCCGGGGCCCGGCCGCGGCGCGGGCACGCCCTGTCACCCTCGCGGTCCTCCTGCCGCCGCCTCTCGGGCCCGGAGCGGCCACGGGGAAGCTCCGAGCGCGCCTCCCCACGCGCCGGCCGCCGCGGGACCCGGAGGGCGGGGCGGCCCCACCCCGACCCCACCCGGACCCCACCCGGACCCCGACCCGGACCCGCCCGGCCTCGCGCAGGCCACGCGCGCAGGGCCTCTGGCTGCCTCCGCCCGCGCCGGGCCCGGACACGCGCACGCCGTCACCTGCGAGGCGGCCCCGCGGCCGGGCGAGTCGCCGGGCGGCCGCGGGCTCCAGGGTCTCCCGCGTGGCGGGCACCGGAGGGGGCAGGGGCTTCCCACGGGTGAGCTCGCCCGGCACCTTCACGCTGCGCAGTTCTAGGAGACGCATGATGGACCCCAGGACCGGGACTGAAATGGGGCAGGAGAGCCCGGGCTCCTGCAGGTGCCTCACTGCCTCTGATGGACGCCGTAGGTCTGGCCAGCACCAGGCACCTGGACACCAGGGACTCTAAAACGAGTAAGACTGAGCGAAAGGCAAAGCAAATCAACAGAAATTTACGCTCATTCATGGTGAAGTACGTGTTCTCCACCGGCTCTCACTTCTCCCCTGCACCCCCACCCCAGGACACACTGAGCAGCCGCAGCTAGGTCTCTAAATCTAAAATTGTTGCTCTCTGGCAAAAGTAGAGGAGTTGCACTCTCTCCACCCCACTAATAATTTTTGTGAGTATAAATATCCAATGCAATCTGGAAGTTTCTAAAATTACCTAGAAAAATAGCTTCGAGGAGCTCAGACACACCACACCACGCACACACGTACACACACACACAGGAAACAAAAAAAAGTGATAGATTGATAGGTAATCCCTGCCCAAAGGATGTACAAACCCATAAAGCAGATAAATAATTCAACAGTTTAAAAAAAAATTACTAAATGGAATAGAGTCAGCTCTCATGGAGGCAATTCCCCAAGCCCAACCACCCCCCCCCCCCTTTCTAGCTCCATATACTTCCAGAAAGCTCTCAGAGGTGGTTTACCTCCATAGAAATTTTCATGGAGAAGCTTCTGGGGCTCATTAGAAGCCATTGTGCCCTGAATAAATTACAATTCCAGGTGCCTGTACGATTCCAGGTGTAAAGAGAGAAAAGATCCCCCAAAGAGACTGCATGGTAGAAAAGACTGACTCTGAAGCCAGACAGCTGAGTTGGAATTTATGACCTCCATCGAGTTAGCTCTTTTAGCCTGAGTTTTCTCACCTGCAAAACAAGACCAAATGGTACAACCGGCTGTGATGAACTATGGGAGAATGTTTATTTGTTCAAAATATTTACTACCTCTCTCTTTGGGAGTATCCTCCCTCCTCATTGACCTGAGGCTTGGCCGTGGAGCTGCTTTGGCCAGTGGAGTGTAAACAGATGTAATATATGCCCCTTCCAAGCATTAGCTTTAAGAGCTATCATGTGGTTCAACCATCTTTCTCTTTTCCTTCCACCAGGTGATCAGTGTGTCCTAGATAAACGATCCCCTTCAGTTTGGGTCCTGCAGTGAGAAGACATATGGAATTCAGCAGAGCCAAAGCCAGTTAGCGTTGGCCGTGTCACATGCACAAAATGTTTGTTATAAACCTCAGGGGTTTTTTTTAAGATTTTTAAAATGTATTTAGAGAAAGAGCACGTACACAGGAGCAAGGGGAGGGTGGAGGGAGAAAAAGAGACTCTCAGGTAGACTCCATGTTGAGCCTACTTTTCACTCAAAGCCCAACGAGCCTGAGATCATGACCTGAGCTGAAATCAAGAGGCAGATGCCCAACCCAGGTGCCCCACCACTGAGATTTTAGGAAGCATCTTTCCTACAGCCTAACTTTGCCTAAGCCACCTGATACACAGATCAATATGTGAGTGTCCATAAAGTCCTTCACTGATGTGAAGACTGAGAAGGTGGATACATACTGAACTATAAATATCAGTCATCATGTGCCAGAATAACATCCCTTCTTAGGGGAGACTGCCACTCTAAGTTCCTGTTGAAGTGCCATCATTTTACTTTTTTTTTTTTTTTTTAAGATTTCATTTGAGAGAGAGCTCAAGCAAGGGGAGCAGCAAAGGGAGAGGGAGAAGCAGGCTCCCCACTGAGCAGGGAGCATGGTACAGGGCTTGATCCCAGGACCCTGACATCATAACCCAAGCTGAAGGCAGATGCTTAACAACTGAGCCACCCACGCACCCGCATCATTTTATTTCATATTATCTAGCCTCTACCATCATTACTCCATGCTAGCCAGCCGACCTGTGACTGGATGAGCTAGTGCAGCAAATTCACCCGAGACCAGGATCGAGTCCCACATTGGGCTCCCTGCATGGAGCCTGCTTCTCCCTCTGCCTGTGTCTCTGCCCCTCTCACTGTGTCTCTCATGAATAAATAAACAAAATCTTTATTGAAAAAAAAAAAGAAAAATACAGATAGAATGACTGGAACTCTAAGAGCTATTTTGGAAGCCATACATGTATGGAGCAATAAGACAAACAGCACACCTCTTAACATAATGGGGAGAATCAGCAGCCCCTAGTAAGGAGCTGACTGCCCCATCTTCTCCACATGGGCCTGGAGAGCTGGTCTGCAGTTTCCAGTACTAGCCTCAGAAGCTCCCTCCTCTGCCTAGGAATACCATTCTTGCCAATGGCACATAAAGCCTCTGGAGGATGTTCACAGACTAGCGAAGGAGTAAGCGGACACTGACCTAGTTGACCAGATGACCCTAAGGAAGTCACCAGAGGAGAGAACACTGTCACAACCAGATGCCCCTCTGACATCAGCTTGGTCACATTTGTCTCAGAAACCGCTGGTCCAGGGGTAGCTGGGTGTCTCACTGGGCATAAGGATTTCAACATGAATTTGGGAGAAATGAATATTCAGACCATAGCAGGCAGGATGGTCTGAAGCAAGTCAACTGTGTGGGATTAGATATGGCCAAGGAGGTGGGTGGCTCAGTCGGTTAAGCGTCTGACTCTTGGTTTAGGCTCAATTCATGATCTCATGGGGCCTGAGATCAAGCCCCGTGTGTCCAGCTCAGGGGTCTGCTTGAAGATTCTCTTCCTCTGCCCCTTCCCCCACTCACATGCACTCTCTCCCTCCATAAAATAAATCTTTAAAAAGAGAAAAAAAGCAACAGCTGGTCTGCTGTGTTCTCCATTCCACCTAAGTGGTTCAGTTGGTTAAGCAGCGGACTGTGGATTTTTGATCGGGTCATGATCCCAGGTCCTGGGATGAAGCCCCCTGTAGGGCTCGGGGCTCAACAGCCAGTCTGAGGATTCTCTCTTTTCCGTTCTCTCTGCCCCTCCCCCCACTTTAGCAGACATGCACACTTTCTCTCTCTAAAATAAATCTTTTTATTTTTTTTAATTTTTATTTATTTACGATAGTCACAGAGAGACAGAGAGAGAGAGGCAGAGACACAGGCAGAGGGAGAAGCAGGCTCCATGCACCAGGAGCCCGACGTGGGATTCGATCCCGGGTCTCCAGGATCGCGCCCTGGGCCAAAGGCAGGCGCTAAACCGCTGCGCCACCCAGGGATCCCCTAAAATAAATCTTTTTTAAAAAAATAAATAGCAACTTATTTAATCTTTACAACAACCACATGAGGTATTTACAGTTCTTGTTTCTATTTGAGAGATGGAGAAAAATTGGATCAAAGAGATGTTAAGCAACATCCCCCAAATCCTGATGGAGCTAGGATTTGAACTCAGGCAATTTGGCTACTGAGCCTGAAAACTCAGGCCACTACATTCAGGATAGATCCAATCTCATTTCTTCTACTTAATGAAACCACTAAAAATACAGCTTGGCGTCAGGAATTCCATTCCTATTTTATTTGTGTTCATTTAGGGATGGATTCTCCCGTCACCAGTCTGAGGGAAGCAGGGCAGGAGCTAGGGTCCCTGGCACTCAGCCGAAGGGCTTGCACGCAGTAATACCCAATCAATGTTCATTCTTTGGTGAATGAAGCCCAATTTTACCGAAAAAGAAACTAAAGGAAGAGCCAATAGTGAAGCTGAACTCCAAGTCCAATATTCTTGCAAATATAGCCTGTTGCCTGAACTGTTGCAACGATGTATATATGCAACTTTACCATCCAGTGGGAGGATGAATATACTGCATTAGGGTGTGGACAGTCCATCATCCAATGAACAAGCAACTCCATTAGGAACACCCCAAGGGTTACACCTAGGGACCATCAAACATGGTCACGTGCAACTTTGTAGTCTAGCTATATCTATTATACTGTACTAATCTTTATATTGTATGTATTAATATATAATATTAAAATTTTATGCATTAAATTTTGTGTATTATATATGATTAATATTTACATATATTACATTTACCTTTTATATATATTATGTACATTACATTATTTTCCCAAAATGCAAGTTATGTCATTTTTCTGATGGTCAATTTTAGTAAAATAGATAGACATTGGGGCTCCTGGGTGGTTCAGTCAGTTAAGTGTCTCATGCTTGATTTCAGTTCAGGTCATGATCTCAAAGTTGTGTGATTGAGCCCCGTGCTGGGCTCCTTGCTGGGCGTAGGCCTGCTTAAGATTGTCTCTCCCTGGGGATCCCTGGGTGGCTAAGAGGTTTAGTGCCTGCCTTCGGCCCAGGGCATGATCCTGGAGTCCTGGGATCGAGTCCCACATCAGGCTCCCTGCATGGAGCCTGCTTCTCCCTCTGTCTATGTCTCTGCTTCTCTCTCTCTCTCTCTCTCTCTCTCTCTCTCTCTCTCTCTCATGAATAAATAAATAAA